CAACCCACCTCACTCCACATTTCCGGGGGCAGATTTCAAGCCATCTTCTCTCCCACTTTAAAGGGTAAATATTTTCTCTCTCTCTCTCTTTTTTTTTTTTTTTTTTTTTTACAGTTCGGGTACAGTTGCAAGGTGAAGAACATTTTCTAGGCATGAATTATTGATGGAGCCCTCCCAGGCACACCAGCCAACGTGCATATTCATCAGGCAGCCACTACATTATTCATGAGAAGTTCACTTAACCAAGGAAGAGAACAATGATATTGTTGATTGAGACGCCTGAAAATTGAACTTTAAAAAGAGCGTTGTGCCCTCAAACTCTGGCCAAAATGCAGCCAGAGAGTTTATCAAAATCACAAGAGAAAGGGGAAATTTTACACTTTAAGGGGGTATCTTTATTGTGGTCCTTCTGTTGCCATCTATATACGCTACTTTTTTAAACGAGACTTTACACACAGAACTACTAGATTGCATCATACCTTCCCTATGCACAGCTCCGGACCTCCTGACTGCACCTTCTGCTAACGGATTGATCTTCAGCAGGCAAGACCTGCAACAGATTTTTATAACAGTATTTAGGCCCCATAACTCATCCTAAATTCATCAAAAATTATCACAAATAACCTCACTCTCTGCCTTTAACCCCACTGTAGATGCCGGAGCTCTGTTGACCAGGGCTGGCATTAAGAGCGGGGACTGCCTGCTCTTGCAAAAGCAGCCCTAAATACAAGGCAAAAGTGCTTGAATCAAAGAGGTGATTTATTTCTATAAACCTACTGAGGTCTGTTGCTGGATGAAGAGCAACAACGGGGAAGAACAAGGCTGAGAAACGCACATGCCTAACTGCATCTTCAGCTTCTTGACAGTATTTTGGCTACACTTATGGCAAGGAAAGGAGATCACAGTCAGTTCAGAAAGGAACCAGTTCTTTACATGCCCTGTATCCATTGGGGGAGATGATGCTGAAGCCAATGGATCCCATGGCAAGATCTTACCTCCCAAAAGGAGGGTCTCTAGGGGCTTCCTGCTGCAGGGAGGCAGAAAATGGGGTCCCGAGGAGGGCCCCGGGAAAGGCTTGGGGCTTGTAACAACCACAAGTACACAGTTTAGAAGAACCAACATAACCCAGAGCTCAGGCTGCAGTCACCAACTGTTAGCACAGTCACCGCGCTAACGAGCGGCTCTGCCTGCTGATGCTTCACACAGTCCTTAAGGCTTAATTAAGCTTAACAATATTTGGAGGTTACCAGCCATTTCCATTGATCTTTTATGCATGAACTCAGAGGCGGCTTCTTTTGCTTTTTTGATTCAGGAGGAAGCAAGGAGAAAGCCGGGGGCTCCCTCACCCACCGGTTTCCCCAGTGCAGTCCCAGGCCTTGGCAGGACAGGCAGCAGGGGGCCTGCTGGGGGACCCCCGCCCCACCTATGGGCCTGGAAGGACACCCCCCTGCGCAGAAAATCTTTCTATTCTTCTCTATTCGTAAAGACACTCCTATTCCGATCTTATCACTAGGCTCCACCTGGGACCCTCACTCCCCTCTCCAGCCCCACCTCAGGCCCCTTCACTCCTGGGTACAACGCGCCCCAGGTCCTGCTTAAGGTCCCCCTCACCCCCAGCCCTACCTGAGGTCTCCCACTACTCCAGCCCACCCTCAGGGGGGCCTCGTCACCCCTCAAACTCCCCTCTCAGCCCTGAGACCTCCCCACTACTCCAGCCCACCCTCAGGGGGGCCTCGTCACCCCTCAAACTCCCCTCTCAGCCCTGAGACCTCCCCACTACTCCAGCCCCCTGCAGGGCCTGCTTAGGGACACCCTTCACCCCTGCGGCCTACCTACAGCTCCCCCCCCGGCCTTGTTTTAGGCCCTCTCACCCCTTGGGCCTACCTGAGGCCTCCCCCCTACTCCATCCCACCTCCAGGGGCCCTCTTCACCCCTCAAGCGCCCCCCTCAGCCCTACCTGAGACCTCCCCACTACTCCAGCCCCCGACCAGGCCCTGCTTAGGGACACCCTTCCCCCCTGCGGCCTACCTACAGCTCCCCCCCCGGCCTTGTTTTAGGCCCTCTCACCCCTTGGGCCTACCTGAGGCCTCCCCCCTACTCCATCCCACCTCCAGGGGCCCTCTTCACCCCTCAAGCGCCCCCCTCAGCCCTACCTGAGACCTCCCCACTACTCCAGCCCCCGACCAGGCCCTGCTTAGGGACACCCTTCCCCCCTGCGGCCTACCTACAGCTCCCCCCCCGGCCTTGTTTTAGGCCCTCTCACCCCTTGGGCCTACCTGAGGCCTCCCCCCTACTCCATCCCACCTCCAGGGGCCCTCTTCACCCCTCAAGCGCCCCCCTCAGCCCTACCTGAGACCTCCCCACTACTCCAGCCCCCGACCAGGCCCTGCTTAGGGACACCCTTCCCCCCTGCGGCCTACCTACAGCTCCCCCCCCGGCCTTGTTTTAGGCCCTCTCACCCCTTGGGCCTACCTGAGGCCTCCCCCCTACTCCATCCCACCTCCAGGGGCCCTCTTCACCCCTCAAGCGCCCCCCTCAGCCCTACCTGAGACCTCCCCACTACTCCAGCCCCCGACCAGGCCCTGCTTAGGGACACCCTTCCCCCCTGCGGCCTACCTACAGCTCCCCCCCCGGCCTTGTTTTAGGCCCTCTCACCCCTTGGGCCTACCTGAGGCCTCCCCCCTACTCCATCCCACCTCCAGGGGCCCTCTTCACCCCTCAAGCGCCCCCCTCAGCCCTACCTGAGACCTCCCCACTACTCCAGCCCCCGACCAGGCCCTGCTTAGGGACACCCTTCCCCCCTGCGGCCTACCTACAGCTCCCCCCCCGGCCTTGTTTTAGGCCCTCTCACCCCTTGGGCCTACCTGAGGCCTCCCCCCTACTCCATCCCACCTCCAGGGGCCCTCTTCACCCCTCAAGCTCCCCCCTCAGCCCTACCTGAGGCCTCCCCACTACTCCAGCCCACCCTCAGGGGGGCCTCGTCACCCCTCAAACTCCCCTCTCAGCCCTGAGACCTCCCCACTACTCCAGCCCCCTGCAGGGCCTGCTTAGGAACACCCTTCACCCCTGCGGCCTACCTACAGCTCCCCCCCCA